CTCCGACAAACGTATGTTGCGCTTCAGTGTCAGTATCACCCTCAGGATGTTATCGATGTTCTGAAGTACTTGTCATCGAGCCGGTTAGATTGGTCCGGTGTCGTGGCGGTGTGCGAAGAGAAAGAAGTTTACAATGCAGCAGTCTGGGCCCTCAATCAACAGGGTCATCCCCTTGATGCCCTTACCAAGGCGGAGATTTTCGAAAAATGTCTTACTCTTCGAGTCATTGAGGCGCTTGGGTCTGCCGAGAGCGCCGAGGCAGATTCGGACATCCAGAAGGCAGTTGACGGACTCGTCGATCTAGCAAGATCTGGCATCTCTGTATGTTTAGATCGCTCATTATCGACCTCGCCGGATGTATCTTTAGAGGACATCTGGCTCCAACTACTTGGCAGTCAGATTAACTGCATCCAGTCTGTCTCCGCGTCTTGTTCGGAAACGTTATCCTCCTTCACCCCAGATTCACGTGCTCATACAGACCGTATCCTGGACGTCGAACGGCAGACATTGGACACACTTCGCTCTGTCATACAAGAAACATTTACTTCCCTTGTATCCATAAGTTCCACCCGGGCGTTGTCCTTTCCCCGGCTCTTCAAACGACTGGTAAACTCTGCAATCCAGATGCCGTCATCCAAAGGCACTCACTACACCGAGTTTCGTACTATCCTGACCGGCATGCTGGAGTCATATCGGTCTGAGGGAGACATGCTTATCATCACGAAACATCTACTAGACCGGGATCTGTTTCAGGGTATGGCAGAGTTGACTCGAGAGCAGAATCGTGGATGGACTCCTTCAAAGGGCGTGTGTTCTGTATGTCGTAGACCATTACTAAAAGACCCGCACGCAGAACGTGACACCCAAACCCGGCAACTTGTTATTGTGTCTCGAGCAGGACGTTCATATCATAGTACATGCTCCCCGGTTTAATTCGAATGTATACTGAGTGCGATATACTTTCATAGATGTCTAGCAGTGAAGTGAAAAAAAGTCTCGAGGACGCGACTCAAACGTTAGCAAGTGTGCGTCATCAATGATCAGCTTCCTCATTATATATCCGTGGCCCGTGGCCATCTGTGGTCCCGCGGATAACTCAATCCGTTGTTCACAACAGATGACCATGTTATGCCACTTCAATCACGTACACCTGTGGGTACTTTAGCAGCGACCTGATTTTGGGAGCTCGCATTGTGATACACATTCCCTCTTGATGGCGATAGTAACACCCGGAATCCATTTTATCGCTCGTGCTGCCTGCAAACTAGGCGCTATAGTTCTACTTGCATATTGGCTGAGATCATGGACATTGCTCCTTCTTCCCCTTCTTTTACCATTTTATCCTGTCCTCCTTTATCGATACTACACTCACCGAGCCTCTTCTCTCAATGCGCGTCTCGCTCCTCGAGTACGCGGGAGCCTCCCTTTCAATATCGACATCATGCGAAGATCTCAAAATGACAAACATCCATGCGATACCTTGGCAGCACTGGCCACGGAGTACGGGGCCACATTCAACACAGATCTCCTGGGGCTCATGCACATCGTGACCACAAGCCCAAAGCACATTCAGCGTGTCCTCGCCACCAACTTCGACAATTTTGAGAAAGGTGAGCTAGGCTTGTCCATCAGCCGTTCAAGTATTGAATTTGATTGTGAAGGGGAAGCATTCCAAGACACTATGTCGTCTGTGCTCGGGACGGGAGTATTCAATTCGGACGGGAAGATGTGGAAGTATGTTCCATCGCTATTCCTCGCACAGAGCCTGATTCACGGCATATCAGATTTCATCGAACGATGACCCGCCCGTTTTTCTCGCACGACCGCATTTCGCATTTCGACTTGTTTGACGAATATGCACAGACAGTGGTAGCCAAAATGAAAGAGCACTTTAGGATGGGTGTAGCAGTGGACTTCCAAGTAAGAGTCAAGGGTTGTCTCGACATTAAACTAACAGGGACTCAGGACCTTATCCAACGCTTCACCCTTGATTCTGCAACAGAATTCCTCTTCGGGAAATCGGTCGAGAGTCTCTCTGGTGTCCTTCCGTACTCACCTTCTTCAGCCCTTCATCTTGGCAGACCTCACAAGAAAACTCACCCAGAAGTTTTCGCGGACGCATTTCTGTCTGCCCTTGAGATCCTGCATGAACGCAGCGACGAAGCGTGGATCTGGCCATTATTCGAGATTTTCAAAGACAAAACAGCGGCACCTATGAGCATCGTCAACCAGTTCATAGAGCCGATCGTAGGTGAGGCAGTGAAGCAGCGGGATGAGGAGAAGAACGGAATCAGGGAGACAGACGACAGTCAAAAAGATACGTTACTAGGTCATCTTGTCCGTGAGACGAGCGGTGAGTTATAATCCATTCCCAGTGGCATTTCAATAACTGTTGACTACTCTAGATCCAAAGGTTTTGAAGGATGAAATGTACGCCCACTTCTCTTTCTTTGACTTCCGAGCTTGATACGACAGTAGCCTTAATATACTGATCGCTGGTCGCGACACTACGGGGTGGACATTATCCGTTCTGGTCTACTTTTTATGTATCAACCCTCTCGTATGCACTCGTCTTCGCGAGGAGATCATCAATTCGGTGGGTCCCGTGCGGCGCCCTACATTTGAAGATATCAAAGGAATGAAATATCTGAGAGCGGTGATCAATGGTACGTCCTTATCCATTCAATCAGTTGAGTACGCTGAGTAAAACTGATGGACAGAGACCTTGAGGTTATATCCCGCCGTGTATGTCTTTTCAGTTGACTTGATACAAGAGCTAACGTGAACACTACAGTCCGGTAAACATTCGCACGTCAATTAAGGAGACCACTTTGCCATCTGATGATCTGGATGAGAAGGACATCTACGTCCCCGCGGGAACCCCGTAAAGCCTTCATGCATCATTTCATCTCCTTCATCTTAATAGGCCTACAGAATTCCATTCTCGGTCTTCCTCATGCACAGACGAAAAGATCGTTGGGGTCCAGACGGCGGGTCTCACACTCTCTTGCTCCGTTCTCGTCTAATTTTCCAGGTTACTATAGCCGAGCAATTCGACCCGCTACGGTTTATTGACGAGCGACACCATCGCATAACAAAGAATCCATGGATCTTCTTGCCCTTCAATGCTGGTCCTAGGATATGCTTGGGCCAGCAATTTGCGTATAACGAAATGTCGTTTATCATCATCCGGCTACTGCAGGCATTTGAGGGCTTTGAGCTAGATGAAAGTATGGGGGGAAAGTTCTGCCCCAAGTTGACGCTGACGTTCTATGCGGGCGTACGTCAATTTTTGGACTGGTTGCTTTGCAAGTGACTAATTCTCTTTCTCAAGGGTGGTGTATGGATCAAAGCAAAGGAAGCTGGAGAAATTGAAGAAGTGTAGCGTCTGGGAATAAATGTACATGTTAAGAAAGTATTTCACTTCCACGAATGGATCGCCTCAAGATCCGCTGCCTGCTACTAGTTGTTGAGCCAAAGGCGTGCTGTATCCTAAAGTTGTCGAATTTTTGTCAGCGCTGGCTGCGGTGGTAACATAGCGGATAAAGAACGGCCAAGCCAATTTAAGAGTTACCTAGGACACATCGCGACTCACAGGTTCACCTCCTCTTCTGATTAGCTTCGCTTTCCGCGTTTTCCCATAAATCCACAGAGGAAGTAACCGATTTCCCCCACTGTTGAACGACTGATGAAGGTGCGCGTATTGCAAGCAAACGGAAGCCGTCCCGACCACCAGCCAGCTGAATCCTCGCTTTATTTCGGGCATTGATGTCTTCCGCAATTTCAGAACCTTTGGAGCCCATCACTTGGATAAGAAGGACTTCCAAAGAAACATCACTACTGTCGAGCAATGCAGAAATGGTCGAATCTATGATTTCAACGGATCTTTTGGAGTTTAAAGGGATGCTGATGGCTAGGTGCGTGATGTTGTGAATTCCCGCAATAAAATGAAAATCTTCCAGAGATAGTTGCACATGGACGTGAGTGGTTTGCGGAGAAATAAGGAGGAAGGGTATGCCATCTCGGCATGAAGGACCAAGGAAGTGCTTCTCACAAGCAACATGAGAGAGCAAAGTATGGTGGTGTGAAAGCAGATAGGCATGGAGCGAAAATCCGCACGCAAGACTTTCTACGTTGCCACACATAGAAATAATTTTCTCGATAGTCGGCAGGGGACCCAAAGCGAAGACTCCGAGGTTTTTCACTCGACTGCAGAGCGGTACCACGGGCGCAAGACTGGGGGCTCCGGAGGAGGCTATAGTTTCAAGGAAAAGTGTTACGGCGCGCGACGATGATAGAACGACGTTTCCGTAGATGATAGGGAGTGTCCAGTGTCGAACGTGAGTCGACACTAGGGTTAAACTCAATCCAGTCGCAGCAGACGAGGTAGACGCGAGCTCGAATATCTGTCTGAGGATGTCGATGGGCACTCCTGGAAAGGTGCGTATCGGCATGCTCACCTCTAGTAATTCTCCAAGTCAACGACAAGCGTTTGATTAAATAGCAAGAACTTGATGCGACATACCTGCAAACGATATGGGTGTGAAATGGTCGACTGAAGGGTGATTTAGTGGAGCAACGATAGGAGTCAAAGTCGCGAATATATACGGACGCACGGCAGCCCGCCACAGATCTCTTGTGTGCCTCTCAGACCAACTACATATGGATAATTTGATACGTTATTCAACGCACGAGACGAGTCTGGATTTTTGCTTCACCTCATGTGTCTACATGTGGCGTTAATATTTTCTTCCGCCTACCCTGAACTTTGTGTGTGGGGACTGGAGGTCTGGAGCATTGCGATACGAGGTTCCAGTACTAATATAGAAGGAGATGTGCTCGAAGTATAGAGCGCGGCCGCAGGAGTAGCACAGCCACCTATGTGCACTTGCTTGCCGAATGACGGAAAAGGAAACTCTATGACGACAGTTTTCGCCTAAAAAGGTTATGATCGAAGAGGCTTCTTTAGCTCTATTGGTATACAATTCAACAACAACTATGGCAACGTGGCCGAGTGGTCTAAGGCGCTGGAATTAGGAGACTTTCCCAAAAAGGAATCTTACGTAATATCCAGTCCTGCGGGGCGTGAGTTCGAACCTCACCGTTGTCACGTGACTGTTTTGTTGTCGCTGGGCGGACTTTCAATTTTGGCTGAGTTTGAATTATGCCGAAATTTCCGCATTTGGAGGCGCGATGCCGTTAGTCTTGTAGTTGAGACAGTTGTAATGGCGCGCTGACTGTCTTCCTGTTGCTCTCTGCCACGCCCAGAGATTTGTATTTGAATAATTATGCTATTAGTACTTGAAAATGTATGGGCCTGCCTCATTTTGAGGGCTGTAGTTTTTTAATTACTTTTATATCGGTAACTAAAACACCGCGGTAGTCCGCATTTGGTTTAAATTTTAAACTCCGTAGCGACTTGCCTGCTCAATGCCGGCTACTATTCGCAAGACTCACAAATTACTGCTCTGCCTGAATGGCTTGAAATTCATAGGACATATTCTGTGTGCATGCATAGGTTTGACTTCAATTTTTGAGCACCGGAAACAGAATGCATCCTTCATGTTGAATGAGTCTGCTACTGCCAGTGAAAGGCACTGGGCAGGCCTGCCGCCTGATGTGGCTGTGCCTCGAGCATGGTAGTGACACAGAGCGTCCGAGTCAACCTGCAGATGCGCACCTTGAACTTTCTGGAATCCTTTGTATGACCCATGAGCGTGGTTAGATCGTTGTCTTCTAGTTCCCTAGAGATCCGGTTAGAGGCGCCGCGTCGAAAGCAGTATGCAGTGACATGAACTGGGGAAAGAAATCAGCAAGGTGAAATTGTGCATGATCCTTACATACCAATGAACCCATCTGCCAAGCTGACACGTCGTAAATGGCCACTGTATGCGGTATAGGTCAAGGCACGGTCTGAAGAAATGCCCCAGACGCCGTTGACCAAGACCTCGGCACGTGCTACACACTGGGAACGCGATTCGAGCTTCAGGGTTAAGATGTGGTGGTCCGTTGGCGGTATCTTGGGGGGAAAGATCTGCTCAGCAGTAGTGACGTCGGCAAATATCTGGTCTTCAATGGCGAGAGCTACTGCCTGGGCGACAGGGCACATTGCACGGTTTGCGTTGGGCTCGGGATAGAGGACAAACTCTTTGTATACAGACTTTTTCCCCTGGTACCCTTTCTGGCGGCATATCTTGACGACGATGATAACGAGAGGATGATGAGAGTCGTCTTCGTTGGGAATAATGTAAAAGTCGTGTTCGCCCCAAGTGAGAGCCTCGTTGGTGCCATTGTTCTTGCTTCCTTCGACGAGGGCTCCGGGCGCTCGGGTATGAGCAACTGGATGTTGATAAAGTAGGCGACTTGGAGCACCATGCGAAGCGTCCGAAACCCAGTGTCCCTGAAAAGTGCTGGGGTAAGGACTTCAAAGTCAGTGGCGCTCATGGAGTCGGTGCAGAGCGGTACGGTTTCTTCGAGCTGTTCAGAGTCGATGTAGGTGTAAACTTGTTGGGTGTATTCGGAAGGAACGGGTTGTAGAGCTTCGCATCGCCAGATCCCGAAGAAGGAGTCCATGAGGGAGCGAATGGTGTCCCTCGTCGAATATTCGCAGATACGGCCTTTGGAGCTGAGTGCTTGGTGCGTGGTGAATGCGATGAAGGCTTCTATAATGGTGTGAGTATATGCGTATATCCATGTGTGGAAGACGTACCTCGTGGCGGGAGCTTTGTGTCGATGTCGATCTCGGGGTATACCTGTAAAGGGTTGTGCTCTGGCTGCTCGCCGCAAAACTCTCTCCAGTCCCGCTTCAGCCGCCTGACTACACAGAGGGATGAGCGAGCAAGCCGTTTGACAAACCGCTGAGCAAAGAAACCCGTGCTCTTGATCTTTGCAGCAACGACGGGTACGGTGGAACGTTTGTCGAGACTCTTTGCGAGTAGTGGGTTTTGGACGAAGAGGCAAAGCGCCAACGGGGCCGGAGGGCGACAAGGATGGGCAGCGTTTTCGAGCAGCTTTTATAGGGCACCATGCTAAATTAAATCCGGGCAAAACGCGTTGTTGAATCCAGGACAAAACGCGTCGGATACCCCAAGGATTTGCGACGGATGCTTGTGATTTCAGAGGTGCGTCCCCAGGGATTGGCAGTGACGCGCTGTGAATAGGAAGCAGACTCTAGGATCTGCGCTGCTTCTATTGGCGGGGGAGAGAACGGAAAGGGGTGAAGAGGAACGACCGGATGGCCTGCGTATGCCTGGTGCTGAGCTTGGTGGACGAAAAACTAGAAAGAAATACGCGTATGCCATTTTTTGCAGTCGAGCCACCGCGTCGATCATGGTGGTAAAGAAAACGTCGGTGCGGGAATTGCCGCGAGCAGCCAGCCACGATCACGGGTTGTTTAACAGCCAAGGGACGGCAAGCCGAACTCGTACCGTAGCGGGCATCACCCTCGTCACTCGACAGTCAAAATGTCTCGGATGCCGCGACCGAATGCCCATCGCAGCTCTCCTCGATCAGCTCCCTCAACGGCCTTGTGCTCCTCGCACTCACCTGTGGCTCTGGCGACGCTCGCCGGCTCGCGCTCGAGGGCTCACTAGAGCTCGATAATGCTACGAAGATGTACCCGAGAACTTTGGTGCGCGCTACGGAGGCCGAAGAATGACATAACCTCCTTGTGTTGGGTAATAATATCAAGTGGTTAACTAAAAAGACGCAATCACTGGACGGAAAGGCAAGCTGAAGTTGTGCAGAAATGATATTATAGAAGTTACAAAAGTACTGGTACAGAAGAGTCATATCTACAAGTTAGCACGATAAATTTCCACATTGAAGTTCCCTGTTCTCTTTTCAAGTACCACTTGGTCAATCAAGCGAAGAACGTCCACTGCACACCCAATAGAGAAAGAAAACCCGGATCCTCCTTGCCCATAGGAATGAACAATGCTGCTGGATCCACCATGCATCCTATTCGGCCGTAGCTCCCGTCCCACGCGCACATTTCCCACACGCGTCGGTCGGAGTCCTTGAACGACAGGCGCTACTGGGTCAAACTCTGCATTCTCGAGTCCCGGAACACTGACAACGCCGTCGTTAGTAGACCGGAAACATCGCATGTTAGGGAACACATACAATTTGTTGCATCGCTCACGCATCCGCTGAATCTCAGGTGATTCCATCATGAAATTGAGCTCCCATTTGTGCGGTTGAGCGATACCACCGAGGATAAGAATCTAAAAGGAGCGTAAATCGAAGGAAACCGAACAAAAGGCAGAGTGAACAAACGTTGTCGTTACGAGGAACTATGAACACGATGTCTTCGTGCTCAGAGCTCAATTCGTTGTCGTGCGTGACAGCTAGGGCTTCCGTAACTTTGGGGAACCGTTTCCCGTCGTTGACAAGCCGGATTAGGCCACCGCGTAGAGGGTAGCAAGACTTGTCTCCCGCGGCTGCGAATGAATTGAGACCGGTAGCATTGACAATTGCAACGGCGCCATAGGCCTCGAGGAGCTTCGCCTCGGAGTCCAAGAGATCACCGTCGATGCGGCGGGTTATCAGCTCCGCGCCCTTTGCTTCGACCAGATCATGAAGCCAGACCTAATTTATCAGGGTCAATATAATCGATGAAATTTGAGTACGAAGTGGGACTCGCCATATATGCATCTGTGTCGATGACGGGAGCCAGATGCGAGTAGGCATCGACAACTCCAGCATTCTGGTTCACTGCATGTTTCGCAATCAAGTTGGGGTCCCGGACAAAACCTTGAACACAAGAAGCTTCTATCTCGCGCATCTTGCTCAGCTGATCTGGAAGGTCCTCGATTGGCTTTCCGAAGAAGAAATTGGCGGTGCGCATCTTGATGGCGGGCAGGGATTTGCTTAGCTGATCGAAAATGCGGTAGGATGTCAACGACCATCCTTTGGACAGAGCCAAGGAGCCCGCGTCGGTGTGCTGGCCTGTACAAATTGCAATTAAGCGAGGTTCCTGAACAAAGTGACGCAGGCATACCACAAACGGCTGGAGGATACTCCCACCTGGTTAACGCAAATTAGTTCCGAGCTTTATATGATATACGCGTACACCTACAACGCTCCGGCTGGAGAGCAATTCTGGTCAGTGCCAGATTGCAGCTTCAAACGGGAGATATACTTACCGATCTGAGATGTGATACGAGGCGTCGCTGGAGCCCACTGCTCGGACACGACTGTGACATCGTATCCTGCATCGAGCAGGATCCAGGAGGTCCTATAAATGCAAGGATGAGCTTGACAATATTGGCGGTACGATGCACCCACGTTAGACCAGTCACGCCACCACCGACAACGAGTACGCGTTGTCTGTTTCGCGGCGCGCCTGCAGCGTTTGCAGACGTGTCAAGAACAAGAAGACCCTTGTTGAGGCCTAAGACTGGAGTAGTTTGTGAGGAAGACATATTTAACAAATATGAAGAGGTTATATCAACGGATTCAGTAGCTGGAGGGCTGAGGAGACTGAGAAACTGGAGCGGGAGGGATCATGATGAGATATGTGAAAATTCGAGCATTTTATAGCGTTGTAACTGTTTTCAAGACTGAAAAAAAAAACCAGTCGTAGTTCGCAATGGATTACGGTGTAGGCAAGATCACCGTGCTGTCGGACACGGCCGTTAACTGGATGTTGAAGGACGTTTTTGATCCATTTAGGATCACAACTTGTGTTTGAGAACTTGTAACCCTTATGGCACTCTCCGATGGCACCTGAACAATAGCCGGCCGCCGCGACGAGAATACCTATGATTGTCCAGTAAATTCCGGCGGCATATGCTCAGCATGTCGTACCTTGGCATTTTCTGTGCATCATTCGATGGAACAGTAGTACCATAGCAAGTCTCTGATGCGGACCGCCTGATCACGAATAGTAGGAACCCCTTAGCTATGGCAAAGTCTAGACCGATTTGCAATAGTACGGGAAACGAAGCTGAAACACGTGGCATTCTCCGCAACAAAGCTTATTCCCATTTTGAAGCAGAGAGCACCCCAATATTGAAGTACCGAGACGCTAAGCGGACCGCTAAAGGACCGTCGGATATCATTTGATCAGAAACCCAGAGTCTTGTGACGAATCGCACCAGATACTCA